TTTTTCCTTTAGAGTGTTATATTCTGACTTATTTAACTGGCATCCACATAACAAAGTCATTGACCATCCTTTATGCTGATCTCTATACTTAATACTTTTGCTCGGCTTTGGCATTTGTGCTTTTCCTCTTAATTATCAAGACTTGAAATAATCAGKGTGAGAGAAAATGTACATGAGCTATTTAGCATATTTTGCTACAAACATCTTTTAGTTTGATAAAACTGGAAAATAATTTCATTAAATCCTTGAGAATGTTCCAATAATATTAATTTCAATAATTTTATTCCATAATGGAAAAAAAAAATCTTTACTATGAAGATTCWTCATTATTTACCAGCATGTGGTTAAAAAATCTTTGAATGTGAGAAAGGGAACAAAGTGTTAGCACTGTCAGGATACCCAGCACATCTAAAAAGCCATCTTTTATTTGCAATGCTTCCTTTATATGATAAACTAGTTTTCCTTTTGCATACAAATGCACGGATGGTCAGCTCTCAGGACACTACTCACTGCAGTGAAACATTACTTTCTTTTTCCCCCATTCAATTAAATTCCAGAAATTTGATAGGATATTGAACTAGGACAAAATTACACAGATTTTTTCCATGCCTCAATGAAAGTGTATCTTTATGAAAAGTCAGTAAGATGCAGARGCTATAAAGACCTTGATTGCTATTACATTGCATCTCACATAGTGTATGTGCAGCAAAGAAACACACTGCATTAGCAGGCCAAATATTAATGGTTTAATCAAAATACAAAAAGCCGTTGTTATAGTTAGTCCAATTACAAGGACACTAGTGATCCAAATTACCTAATTTACAATTCAGAGGAAAAAAAAAAAAAAAACCCAAACCCTCACTAACAAAACAGTTAACATTTTAAATTAATGTTTTTGTTTTTTCTTTTTGGATCCCTCTCCTAGTAGGTCTCTCTTCCTCGTAGTCCATGGTGCTAGTATTCCTCAAGGCGAACTGAGTAGTTGGGATTTTATCCAATAAAACTTTAGAATTACTGCAAGGACTTTTGATAAAATTCACTTCTTTTTATACGTAATTCCTCCTCCACTAAGTGTCTGCAAAAGTATTAAATAAGTAAAGCAGTAATAACATTTTGCAAGCAATGGTGTAGTAATCGGAGACAGACTATCTTTCTGACAACTGACTTGAGATAATAGGGTTTTCTGTGCAGTAACGTTTTCTCTACTGTTGTTTTGGGAATTTCTTGTCATTATAAATAGCAATGTGCTTTTATTTTCAAGTAAAATCAGTGATGAATTATATTCATATCACAATCACACTCTTGTCCTTCAGCAAATATTTAGAAATTGTAACTAATCTTAGTCTCTAATGAGAAAATTCAGAAACAAGAACTGCTTCATGGCCAAATGCTAAGTGTTTCAAAAGAATGCCAGCTACAGAAATTAATCCTGAGTTTATACCAAAATAATGGGTTTCTCATATACATACACATTTATATATATATATATATAAAGCAAAATGCCTTTTTGAAGTCTTTTTGATTTGTATCCATTCTGAAATTTTTTTGCAACACATTCTAAAATACATACATTTTGGTTTTTTAACAAAAAAAATGGCATTATGAATGTCTATTTTTCCAAATTAAAAATACTCTTCATTAAACAAGTCTACAGGCATTATGTGCATGTTTGTGCATATACAGGTATTTACATATTTCTAATATTTTTCTCTTCAAAAACMTTTGTACTGAGAGCAGCTCAAGTTTATTGTATGAGGTGCTTGGTGACAGATRTTCTCATTTGGATAGCCATTTTGTTCTAAGTAGCCTATTGTGTAAGTATCGTATTTATTCTTGTAAAAAGGAGAACATTAACAGAATATTGTGTAAATGAACGCTTTACACTTTWAAAAATATAATTGCATGGATTTTATACAGACAACAGAGGGCTGTATTTTTTGTTCTGCACAGTATTGCAATTATGGGAAATGTATTAAAGTAGGACAATGAGCTCACACTTCGCTGTTTTGTGCAAACAACAAAGGCCAAAGAGATTGTTTTTTTTATAAATTTTGCTTATCTGCTTGTATGTTAAGGCTAAGGTCCAGAACTGCATTTTACTGGGGACTGAGGAGGAAAGTACAGGGATAATAATGGCTCTGCAGTGCTTGCCAGAGTACCCAGACACCCTTCCCTTCTCCTAAGACTCTTGTACCAACTGCAGCCGGATCCAGCAGCTTGTACAAAGGCAGTCGGATTTTGCCAGCACTTGGAAAAGCTTTGCACGAGATGATGCTGAAGACCTTGAAATTTCTAGGTCCCCAGACACTGAAGGCTTTGTAGTAATTACACTGAATTTTTGCACCTATATTATACTCCAGAAACATTCATTTTTTAACTGTCAAAAACTTTCTCTGAGCGCTACCCTCGCAGGACAGACTTGCAGAAYGAAATGCAGAGATTAATCCAGTGCCTCTAAATTTACCTGTGAACGGCCATAGCCACAAATGATGAGCAACTTCCTGCTTCCTGAAAATACCAGAGGAGTAATGTTTAAGCCCTTCTTTGAGCCTTAAGGTTCATTAGACTTAATYTTCTGCCACTTTTTTTTTTCTTTTATACCAAATTGGTTGAAATAGAAAATTTGGTATACTTCACCTTAAATTTTTAAGAATTATTCCCACAAAGAAGTGAYCAGCTGAATAAATTAATTTAGCTTCAATTTATATTTCATTTCTGCATTGACCTGCAGGAATGGAATCTGAGATTTTAAATAAAAAATAATCAAGTTAAAAAAAAAGGATTTAAATATTTCTGAAATTTAAACAGAGAGCAAATACCAGGCAAAATTCAGAACTCCTAGGCCTAGAAATCACCAAGAAGGACATCATAAATTTACCTTTCCCCACCTCTAAGGAATTTTATTAACACTCCTGAAAGTGCAGTAAATTCATATCAACAGAGTGAATTGATACTGTCTGGACTTATTCTATTTCTGAAAATAATATTCTAACAATAATTCTTTATGCTTATGGGCTACACAAATGTCTAAATTGTTTTCTTACATCTCTAAGACAAATTTACAAGCATTCACTCCATGAACATTATTACTTCCAATGCCTTTCGTTTTTCAGTGTTGTGTTCAGTCTCCAATACGGTCTAGTGAACTGCATGTATTTTTTTTTTAACTTTACACATGGTCACATGGTTTTACAAAATTATTAGGGTATTTGCATATGAATTATATCTGGAAATAATCAAAAGTTTGTTTACTGAAGAACTGAGCCTGGTTGGAAACAAGGATTTTGCTTGCAAAGAGCCAATGATTTTCTTCAACTTAAATACAGGGAAAGATGCTAGGACTTCCTATTTATTGTCTAGACAGAGACATTAGTACCTCTAAAGTTGGGCAGGGAAAGTCAATAACGCCATAGGCACAATGTTACAAACCGACATGCTGATTAAGTGATGGATTACAAGAAAGTCTTGGAGAAGCAAGGACAAATGTCTGACCCTGAATGTAACCTGCAAAAAGCAAATGGCTCTACAGAGACAGATGCCTCCTGCAGTCCAGATTGCCTTCAAAAAAAGCAATACTCCTCATGCCAGACAAGTAGATTTCAGCTGGTTAGTCAGGTCAGTGTTATTACAGCTTGTTAGCTAAATGTCACAGATAGACAACCTAAACTATAACTATTGCTCTTTTTTTACCCCTGTATATATACTTCTGTCTCTAAACACTGAAGTGCTTTATTGCAGTGAACAYTAGGACTGCAAAAGATTAAGTCTATTCTTTTAATGAAATGTTTGTCTGAAGCAAATATGCAGATTTTAGAGGAGAAGCAAAACACCAAGTATCTCTCTCACAGGTCTGGAGTGGTTCACAAACCACTTTTCCACTTCCAGACATCCCACCCATCCCAAATGATAGTGGGAATATATTTCAGCTCATGGGATATTTAAAACGTATCAACATACAGTTGATAGTATGCAATAAGACTGGGAAAAGGCTGAAATCTCAGGGACTGGTACTTGTCAGCCRTCATGATTGTTCCTTATGTGAAGTTGCAGTGGGCTCTGAATTCTGGTTACATCTAGTGGTAATGAAGGTTTCTCTTACAAGATTTCATTCCCATCCACATGAACTTACAAGAATGGGATCAAACCAGTAGCCTACTGAGCTGATAAAGTACTGGTAAAATGGCCTAGTTTAATAAAATAATCAAAAACATTTGTTTCTCACTAGCCCCTGAGATTTTTTTTCCCTTGAATTACAAAACTCTCTGACTTCTATGGGTTTTTGTGCACATCTAAAAATATGTAATGGTCTTACTCTTTAAAAGAGCAAAAGCGTTATTCTTGCACTGTTTTCTCTATGACAAGACAATTACTCCCACAGGTATAAAGATACTTAAGACTGCATTGTTTTCATGGTCAATGATCTTTTTCCTTGTAGCTGTTTTTTCTAGTCTATTTTTAGGGGGAAAAAAATTATTCAGGTTTTGATCTATTTCATTAACAACTGTAAAAATGGCTATTTATGAAATCATCCATCTTTATGGCTGGAGGATTTCAAATGGATTTTACACTGCCTATAGAGAAGAATTTAGTTCTAGATACATTTCTATAATTTCAAGCAGACAGTCCTTCTGTAGCTAAAGTCTCTTAGTTACTAAAAGCACACATAAGTAGAGCTCTCTGATGACTTCTGTTTTTAGAAACCCAGAAGGTTTTTTTGATAATTAGGATTTCTAATGTACCATAAACTTGCATTGTACTTTTTGTGGGAAAAAAAAAACAACACAAGTCCCTGTTTGCCAAAGCTTCCTATATCTGCTTATTTGTCCTTTCCAAACACTGAATACTATGGGTAAGGTGTTGAACTTGAAGGTGTTGAAAAATTCTCTGACAAATTGTGTTGAGAGAAATATCTTGTATTGAGAGAAATGAGAGAAATATCTTCTGTGTGCATAAAAAGCATTACTTTCAGGATAATAAACATGGGTATGGAAATAGACTGATAGCTTTTAATATGTTTATTTTGTTAAGAATAGAAGATAATTGATTATCAGTGGATGAATAAGGCAGAGAGATGATATTTTTCTTTCTATGATCCTAGTAGAAAGCTGGAATAATTCCACCAAGTTAAGTCAGATTTACAAATGTGATAGTATTTGATACTGAGTCTTCAAAATAAGTTAGAAGAAAAGTGCTCTTTTGTGGGCAGGGGTTTTGAAGTGCCAGCTTTTATGAAAACTCCTGAACCCCATCCCTGTAGCTGTTTTAATTTCAGAGAGTTCATTTTAAAAYTGAAGAAAGGTTGAATTGAAGCAACCAGGACGCTAAGCACTGACGAGACTTCAGAATCCAGGAAGGTCAAAGCCTTTTTTCTTGCCTTTGGCTTCAAATCTGTAAAGAATCACACATGTGCTTACTTTTATGCACAGTTTGTCCAGTCCCAATGAGGTAAACAGTACCACTTAGAGCATATAAAATTAAACACTTGACTAAATCTTTGTAGAACTGTATCTTATACTTATGGTTATAATGTTGATATAAAAGGATTATTTTGATGCAATATGCATTAATATAATTCATATGAGTAAATATTAATATAAATACACTTCTAAGATCTTCTTTCTTTCTTTCTTAGAGAATAAGACCTTTGAGCACCAAACTAAGATGATATAAAAGATTAAATCATGGGCATACAGCATAAAGTTTCCTTGACACCAAAAAAAATGCCCCTAAAACCTTCCCTTCTCCCTAAAACCAAAAGAAGGCCCAGATAGGGTCAACATAGTTCAGAAGACACAATGAATGATTTCATCTTAAAATAGGAATTCAGAGTTCTAAGTATTTCATCTAAATACATTTTAGAGTATTATAAATGCATGTTTACAAGAATACTCTGGATGTACTTTTCAGTTCTTAAAGAAAGAATAGTCTAATTCTGAAAGAAAAAGACACAACCTAAAGAGAATACCTAGTGCGTAGACAGAGCTTAGAATAAAGAGAACCATAATAGACAAAATATATATGAAGCATCTTTCTTAAAGCCCATGAAGACAGTTTCTTTTTTCATATTACTTTTAGCAGAAATACTACTGGAGGGAGAAGGGGATGGACTATAGGATGATGGCAAAATAATTAGCAGATAGGCAGATCCATGTAAACTAAAAAGAATCTGTGACAGGGAGTTGGCCAAAAAATTTATCCTATCATCAACATACAGAAAATCTCATCATTAGAGATAGAAGAATAGAAATGATTATCCTTACCAGAAAGATTCCTGATGCTGCCTTCTTCTGGCTGATTGCAGAATGTTAAAAAAAAAAAAAAAAAAATCCATGCTAAACTTCCTTGTAAAAGAATGATATGGGAATGCAGCATCCTGCTGTTACCAGCTTCTTTTCATCAGGAGTTTGAGCTGTGGACTGCTTTTAACTTACTGGTTATCCCTCAAACCAGTCAAATCAGTGTGGTCCTACAGAGCACCTAATACCACTCTGGGGAACTAGATGCTGTCTCTTCTCTGCGCCAGCATTACTGGAGTCCAGACAATGAGGCAGATTTTTCAAGCCCTAAGTAATTCAGGTAAAATATTTCAGATTAAGCAAAGGGGTGCTACACTCATTATGCTGACTTCCCTAGGCTTTTTGTAGTCCAAGAAGAGAGATGGGCACCACCTGAGGTCAGCACAGRGCAGTTAAATGAGGCTGGTGCTTCAAATTGATCTCTGGAGCAACTTCCTCCCTTTTAACTATGGGAGTTGTGCTAAACTTAGGTTAGTTTTCATAATGAAATTCTTGTCAGTTTTCAGCAACCTCTATTAAAAACTTAAATAGACTTAATAGCTTCTTAATATTTCCTAATGAAACAGCTACATTCCCCTCATTTAAACCTTAAATTTTTAAGAAACTTTTTGGAAAATCTCAACATATGCTGATGAGATTAAAATATAAATTAAAACAGCAAACTCTCAGATGCATAGATATCTAGCAGAAATACATACCTAGAAAATGATAGAAGGCCTGCATTGGCCCAGATTCAGATATCATTTTTGGACCATTTCAGACCAAAGGTATCATAACCTACAAGAATGCCTTTACGTTCTGAGGAAAACAAAAGCAAACATTGCTCCTCTTCTCAGCCTGGAACTGTCACCTCTTTTAGAGAAACCTAAGAAATGTTGCTTGAGRGAGTTGCCTGTTGCACGCTACCAAAAGACAGGTGAAATGTGTAAGCATAAAGGCAATCTTACCAAGGGCTGCTATGGAACGAGCTGAAGGAGCTACTGATCTTCTCTCAACAAAGTGGACCAGGTGTCCACTTGGAGRATGGGTAGCTGGGAAGTGGGAAAAATTCTGGAAGTCACTAAGTAGTTTAACTTGATTAGACTGTTTTGTTATAGTCATTAAAGGAGTATTAAGTCTTTTGAAAGACATAGTAATTTTGTTAGTGGAACACACCTGTTTTCTAGTAGAAATACAGTAATAAGCTTTATGACATGTTAAGCCATTATAACTGTTTAAAAAATTAATTTGACAACTCAACTGCTGCTAAAATGTGTTGAGGTTCAAGCATTGGACTGTGCATATCTGGTTTACACGTAGAAAGATAAGAAAGGTTTTGGTGATTCTATATATGCACAGTCACATTGAATCAGTCAATTATTTTACTCTGAATTAGCTATGGAGTTTTATACTAAAAATAGTGAATATATGGGAGATAAAAAGGAGATGGAAGATTGATACTTTAAAGTTGTTTCTCCAACAACATGGAGGCATGTTGATGCCTGGTACTTACTGTATTTCTGCCAAGCTGAGAGCATTTGTGAAATTACTTGCATATTTGATTGTTACAAGTAACTTCATTTTTCATCTTGTTTAGTTTTTGTCTGTGAAAACATACCATTTAACAAAAAGCCTTTTAGGTTTAAAATGGTAAATATAGTAAATTAATTCTGAATTTAATTTACTTTTACTTAAACAGTTATACGATAATGGCAAAGGCTATTTGAGATAAGACACCAAACACCAACTTGAATTTGTATTTAAACCACAAGTGGAAAGAATAGAGAGAGATAATTTTGTAATAGAATTGTTTGGAACAATGTAAGCAAAACTATTCGGCTTGTCAGCTGAAACACTGTTATTTGTACCTATTATTTATTATTCATTGTGTGTTTGTTTACTTATTCAGTTTATTTACTCTGGACTCATCATTCCCCTCCATATAAAATATCTTTTGYATAGTAATATGCTGCTTTCTTAATTGCAAAAGCAATATGTATTGGAAAATTATCTGAGAAACCTGCTCTGCAGTCTGTGTGTATGTGTTTACCTGCACATGTATTTGTGCGTGTATGTATACAAACTAATAAATATAAAGTTTGCAAAAAATGTATCACAGAAAGCAATCCTCGATGCCAGTTTTCCTGCAGCTGTTGCTTTTTTTTTTTTTTTTTTTTTTTTTTTGATGATGATCACAAGATTTGGCTGAATTTTAAGTACATATAGAAAGTTATGTCAACAAAAACAAAGCAACTTTAAACTTTAAAACTTTAAAATAGTCTAGAACACAGCAATTAACAAGAAAAAAGTGTCTTAAGAAAAATTAAACGGTTGACAGRCTGCTTATTTTTTTAGATTTCTAGATGATTTTCTATGCAATTTTGCAAAGCACATTTTGAACCCTTTGCTGTCCCTATCTTTTTTTTTTTTTTTTCCAACAGAAAAAGAAATTACCATTTCAGGTATAACTGCATAGTCTGTGTGAGTTTTTATAAAGATACAATTACTGGGGTAATGAAGTTGTGGTAATATTTACAATATATTATTGAATGATTAAATTCAATAATAAAAAAATATTTTTTTTCCACAGTATTTAAACACCACTCACATTTTGTTCACATACTAAAGATATCAAAACCAGTTAACATGTCTTGGAGAGACTGGAAGAATAAAAATCTAAATTACTAACTTATTTTTTGTTCATATAAAGTCACCGTGAAATACAAGAAATGAATTAAAGTATGTCAACCTATCCAAATTTTTCCAAAACAATCACCATGAAGAATAATTACTAAGAAAGTCGTGAGAGAAGAAAATGACAGCCATTTTTGTCATGAAGTCAAATTTCCATTAGATTTGTCTGGTAGGAGGAGAAAACAAGGGGCCACTTCAGTCACACATGACAAAATGCTGTTAAACATTTAGTCGTATTATCAAGATTTAATCAATTCTTGTCTTTTTTCTTTGCATTGGTGTCAAAGTTTGCAGTCTTCTATCAGTTGAAATTAGCGCTTTTCTTTCCCCCCCCCAAAATTGTGGTGTCTGTGAACACTGCAATATAAGTAATATATTTGCTCTGTCTCCTTTATTGGTTCTAACAAAATTGTTAGAATGATCTATACTCAATTGCTTGAACTTTCAAGCCTGTGTCTTAATTCTGTCTCAATTAGTTGAAATACTACTGCAAGCAAACACAGAACAGCAATGTCATGGTTGTACTGAAATTTACTGTTGAATTTGAATCACTAACCCAAGGAATTGAAGGGGATGGTGCTTGCCAATTCTAGGTCTCCTTTCTTGCCAAGCAGTGACAAAGGACTTTTGTTATATTCTGACTCTGGATTTACTTCGCAGATGTGAAGCTATATCATTATGAACACTTCACTTGCACATAAATGCCTGAGAATATATAGCTTTCATGAGCTTAAAGGCAAAATGATCCAGATGCTGGTTTGTTATATAGTTATCCAGCAGACTGGAATTTCCACAAAGCAGAGGTTACTCTTCCACTATTTTTCAAGCATAATCCTAGGGTSTTGGAAAAGTCCTGCTAATATAAGTGATCTCCAAATTATTCTTAGTTACAGTTTTAGTTACTGATTTGCTTTGTTTCTGTCTGAACTGATCATTAGATCTGGTAAACAAAATATTGGAAACATCATATTTGAAAGGTTTTTTTTTTCAGAATTTTTGATGCAATGATATCTCTGAGAATGCTGCAGGGTGGGTGAATGTAACTGTTTTGTCTGTTCCCTGATAAGCATGCCTAAAACTTGTAAGAATTTCAACGTTATTGAATACATACAAGACGATTGATTAGTTATATTCATTCTGGGACTAAATTCCCCAGAATATTCATGTTTTTATACCTGCAGGAAATCAACAGAAACTCCAGGCATCTTCTCCAGAAACACGTATCAGAGAAACCTACGTCAACATAACAAAAGCTCATAAAACCCTTAAAATAATAAACAAGCAAACATATAACATTATTTCTTTTCTGAAACACATTTTTCCTCTGAAAATKACATTCTTTTTCTTCATTCCAGTTCAACTCTGCCTAGATTCATTTTATAGTCATCACATACCCATGAGTGCTCTCTTTTTTTTTTTTCTGTAATACAGCAGATCACAGCTTGTAAAACAGCCTCTAAGACACTGGAGTATTAAGTCTTACTTCTGCTTGGGAGAAYTTGAACTTATGTTTCTTCTTAAGAATATGCCAGAACTATGCCCTTAACATATCACTTCAGGATTTTCCATGTAGAAGTATTCCATTTAATGCCATTAAATATTTAAATCTCTAAATAATCAAAGAGATGAAGAGAGCTTGATTCTTAGCCTTGTGGTTAAGACATATACTCAGTGAAGGTAACAGTTAGATTTGTCAATAATCCAGTAAATTGCTAAAACAAAAGGAAATTTTGGAGTGAGGTAAAGGTCATAGACTATGGATCTCCTCCCTTACATTCTCTAGCCATTAGACTAGCACAGCCATCTATAGATATTATATATAGATATTGTATATTATATATTAGACTGTATATATTATATAGTCTAATGGTTAGCAATCCCAAATAATGGAGAAGATATATATACACACTTGTATATATATATATTTACATTTTATTAGTAACCATATAAATTATTCCTTGGAGCAACTTCTACAGGAGGGATTTGAAAATTGTGGACACTCGTGTAGCAAAGGAATACAGAAATTTGTTTCTTATTCCATTCAAATAAACCCACAATGTGAGACAGCCTATCTTGTACATTAGCCACTGATCTATTTGTAATAAAGCAGGCTCTCGTGATAACATCTGTCATTTGAAAGGATTAATATCTCCTCGGGTTTTGAAATGAGCAACATAGGCACTGAAATGATTCAGGGCTTTACATCCCAAGTAGCATTCAATATAAGGTGCTTGTGACTTGGAAATACATGGATACTTGAAAATCTATTCAGTGTAGTCTAGGTGTAGAGGAGGAAGATATTTAACCTTTTTGGAGGGGGAGAGTATATAATGAATATAGAAATGTATA